CCTCATTATATATTTGCCTTTTCATGATAGCATTTTACTAGGTATTCGATTTTAGTAACGTAGTAAGCATTTATTCAGATAGTTTATTAAGTAATTTATGTTGGTCTGGTTATTTTCTCCTCAAGATAAAATTTACAGTGTCTGAATTTTTTTTTTTTTTTTTGTGTGTTTATGTTTTAGGCTGACACTGTTTTCTTTGTCTTCGGTATTTTTTATGTAATTCACTGTGTAGCAAAATTCTAACGTTTTTTGTTGTTTTTTTTTTTTTTTTTTTTTTTTGTCTTTGGTTAGTAAGTATTATTTTCTAAATGCTTCTCTCCAGAAAACAAAGGAAACGGTAATTATTTCCTTCTACCTTTGCTTTTGCGATCTGGACATCGAGCGTTTTACAACTAACCTATTTTCCCATTATATTTCAGACAGATTCAGCGCCGAATTGCTGAAGCAGAATTTTGTAAGACTTTCTAGAAGTCTCAAGAACTTTCGAGAAATTTCTAAACGTTTCAAGAATTTCTAGAACATTCTGGCAACACAGATGCCAGAATAAATACAGAAAACGTAAGGTCAACAGTTCAGTTTACTTCTCGATGTCCAAGTGCAGACAAGTCGTCGTTGATCGATGCATTCGTCACAGATGGCATCAAGTTGTAAGCATCCAACAGATGCATTTGCTATGCCTGTGGCGAATTTCTTACAAGCGCGAAAAAGTACCCTGTAGCAACATCTGTTAAAATGAGTGAGTCCTACAAATCATATTTCAGCTTTCCTGTCGGGGATCAAAACCCTGGGGGGACCTCATTTCAGCTGAGAATTATATAAAAGATCTGTAGAAGGTAAGATGGAATTTTTGCGCGTTTGAATCGTGGAATTTTTAAGTGTAAAAATTTTGGAATTTTTTTTTTAATTTAAATATTTTTAAAGAAAGAATAAAAACTCGTAATTCCAACGGATAATTTATTGTTAAAAGATATATTTCGGAAAGGTTTTTGCAATTCTTGATCACTCTTGAGAAAGAAATGAAACACTTACTAAGCTACATTGTAAACGTTATAAATTCAAATTAAATAAAACAAATTCGATCGAATTGAGTTCGCGAGACATGCATAAGCTAAAAGCGTGAGAATTGCTTAAAGAAAGAAAGGAAATGCCATTTCCAAACCGAAGTAAAAAAAAATACTTCTAGTTTTTCCGCATTTTCCGTTGAAGTAAGGAAGTCCATGCTGTTTTTTTTTTTTTTTTTTTTCACTCTGGTTTCGAAATGACATTTCTTTCTTTCTGTAAGCAATTCCCACGTTTTCAATTTACGCATGTCTCGCGAATTCAATTCGATCTATTTTTTATTTTTTTTACTTTGAATTTATGACGTATACAATGTAGTTTAGTCACGGTTTCATTTCTTTCTCAAGAGTGATCAAGGATTGCAAAAAAACTTCCCGAAATATACCTGTTTTAACAATAAATTATCCGATGGAATTACAAGTTATTTTTTAATTCTTTTTAATTCATCTTCACCAATGGAATCAAGCGTTTTAACAATTAAATATTTCTAGTTTTATTTTTTTTTTTTTAAACCTGTGTTATTGACAAAGATATATGACATTTTTCAACAATCGCGAATTCCTGTCCACAATATCATGGATGTTTTCTATACTGGATCACCGGTAAGAGCCACAAACATACAGAATATTAGGGATGTTCAGTATTCAAGAAACCTTATTTTTGTGAAATTTGCTATATTAAATGGAGCCCAAAATCAGAATTTTACGCATCCATCGCACGATTTTGAGAAATTTAAAAATCAAAAATGTAATTTTTTTTTTAGAATTTATCTATAATACAGGGTAAATTATATTTGTATATTTACACTTATATTTTTATTTTGCTATTTTCCAGGACGGTACATATTGAAAAAACTTTCTTTTCTTTTTATGTGCTGTGTCCTTTCAGGATGTACGCGATCATGGCTCTCCACTTCTCCCCTATCCCTTGTAGCTCTCAATAAGTTTCTGGCCTCTACCAATTCCCACAGACCCCGTTCTGCCATCCACCTGCTTAAGCCCACCAGGATATGTCATGCGTTGCTTTCCCTTGTCTCTTTATCCCTCTATTCGAGCAAGGAGTATCAGATTCTCCAAGCCTTCCTTTCTCATTACGTATCTCAGAAATTTCATCTGCCTCTTCCCTATGTTAAATATAAGATTCCTCCTTGTTTGCATCTTTTCCAGGACCTCGTCGTTGCTAACACCCTCGGTACATGATATCCTTAGCCTCCTTCTGTAGAAGGGGGTTAAATAGAGAGCCATGAAATTCGCAGTCCCGCGAATTTGCTCCTTCTGCATAGTGGCGATAATGGGCCTGCTAACATATATCCAGACCTTCTGCCATCCACCGCCCCAGTGCCATACAGCTCTGAGCTCCCCGTACCCACCTCCTCCAACGAGATCGCACTCGTTTTCAGAAGAGAACGACAATTCAGGAGAGGATGAAGTCATCGATCCAAATTACAGAGGTACTGCTGAGGAGAGAAACCTATAGTACCTCAAGAAAGAAAAAAAACCCTCAACGACCTGATCAGAGATCTTAGTCTCATAAAGTTCAATGACGAAATTTTGGTCTCCGTACTCAATCATTGGAATTTGTTAGATAAAATGTTTAAGTCTTAGGTTAGTGAAAGCGTTGCCAGCGTTTTTTAAGCTTTTTCACCCACAAAGATGGAATTTGATTCTGCCACAATGTGACCCGTCTGTTCGAAGCAATTTAAATCGACTGTAAGCCCAGACAAGATGGGCTTTGATTTTACCACAATGTGATTGTCTGTTCAAGGCAACTGAAATCGCCTGTAATCCCAGTCAAGATGGGCTTTGATTCTGCCACAATGTGACCGGTCTGTTCGAAGCAATTAAAATCGACTGTAAGCCCAGACAAGATGGGCTTTGATTCTGCCACAATGTGACCATCCTGTTCGAGGCTATTGAAATCGCCTGTAAGTGCAGTCAAGATCGACGTTAATTCTGCCACAATGTGACTGTTCTGCTTGAGGTAATTGGAATTGCCAATAAGCCCCAGTCAAGATGGGCTTTGATTCTGCCACAATGTGACCGTTCTGCATGAGGTAATGAGAACCGCCTGTAATCCCAGCGATTAGCGCCTCTTCATCGATTGCTCATCCAGGAGCGATCATGGAAACATATATCGATCTCTTCCCCTGGCTCACTCGGTGAAGCTCAAAGAGGAATACAGCAATGTCAACAACTTAGATGACTTGAAATATGAAATGTACGTTTGGAAGGTTATCAGAGACTTCAAAATGATAGTCTTCATGATGGGTCTCCAAAGCGGCTTAATCATGTTTCCGTGTTATCTGTGCCCTTTGTGAACTGCAGAGACACACTACTACAGACGCAACTGGCTGCAAAGGACCATGTTCTGTGTGGGGAGGAAAAATGCCTGATGTTAGCCAAGATTGTATTCTCGGAAAATATTGTTTCCTCCATTGCACGTAAACTCGGCCTTATGAAACAATTTGTCACAGCTCTAGATAAGTAGTCAGCAGCCGTCAAGACTTCTTATCTACACTGTATTCGGCAGTAGTCAAAGCCGGTGTTTTCGTCGGACCACAAATAAAGAAGAGTGTGAGGAATTCTCCAAAGAGCTCACTAAAAGGGAGAAAGCAATGTGGAAGAGGTTTGTCGCAGTAGTTCGGGGCTTCCTGGGGAATCACCAGGCCGAAAACTATGTGGGCCTTGTTGAGACCCTTGGTGACGAACTACGGCAAAATGGACTGCAGGATGTCCCTCAAAGTCCATATCCTGGATGTCATCTTGGTAAATTAAATCAGGACGTGAGGACGTATTCAGAGGAGCAATGCGAGCGCTTCCACCACTTTCTACTTAGCGCGAACGCGAATGTCTACATTCGCCAGTTTTCTCAATGGGAATAGATAAATCTCAGAAATATCATAACCCTGATCATAAAAGCAAAGGTTGAAGGAAATTTTAGTAATATTTCAGATTTTCTACGCGTAAGCAAATAGGAAATAATCGTTGCAACCGAAGGACAAAAATTGTGATACTCAGTGATAATTTCATCGGCAAGACGTTTTTTGAGAAGCTTTAAACTTAAAACTTTGTGCCCTGACCACCGCTTTACCGGTGGTAAAGAAAAATGACGTAATACCCAGCTACCAGTTGAAAAGTGGTAGAGAAAAATGACTTAATGCCTATCTACTTGTTGAACGGAGGGTAAACACTTGTAACTATTTTTATATCAACCGTGAAACATTACATACCAATTATTTGAGAATTTTGACTCAGAAGCTTAGGCAGAATTGTTCAGGAACGCACGGTTCAAATGTTTAAAACCTGTTTCCTCAAAAAAAATATTTTATACGATATTTTTTTCATTTAAAATCCCACTAAAACTACTACACTAAATAATATATTACATCATAATATAGCTAAATTGTTTAGTATAATTTCCCTTTGAAGTAAATGAAGATCTTATTTGATGGCACAATCATTTAGTAATAATGTGCTTGTGCCATGTATCTTGTACATATACAATTTGTAAAGCTTTAGTAAATTTTATAAGGCTGTGCTATAAGGCCTTCACTGATCACCAGAATTAAATTCCAACGATATGATTTTGAACTTAGGCTTAATCTTTGAGCCCTGACAACCGCTTTACCTTTGACAGAGAAAAATGACGTAATACCCAGCCACCAGTTGAGCAATGGTAGAGAATACTTGTTGAACAGTGGGTAAACACTTGTAACTATTTTTTTTATATCTACCGTTTATTTGCGAATTTTGACTCAGGTTAACGCTGGGCTAAAAGGGTTAAACTAAAAGCTATAAGTTAAAAAATATATTCATAAAAGACAGCGAGCCTTCAAATTCTACAAAGCTATTTTTCTCCTTACCAAAAACGTTTTAAAGACATCAAAGTAACGGAAGGACTCCTATCCTCTCCAAAATATTGTTTCATAAAGAAAAAATAGCTTACGGCCATATCACGTTGAAACACCGATTCCCGTACAATCACCGAAGTTAAGCAATATCGAGCCTGGTCAGTACATAGATGCGTGGCCGCTTGGAAATAGCAGGTGATGTGTGGGTGGTGTAATGGATAATGACTAAGAAATGAGAATCGGCGGAACGAGTTCTAATTCCTGTTGGCTTTGTTATATTCACTTAGGCGCAAATACCATCGGGAAAGGTACGAATCCCCCTCTTCTACCCCAGCTATGGGTTAATTAGTAAGACTTGTATCACTAAACCATTATCTCCCCGCCACAAAAAGAAATCTAACAATCTAAAAATATTTTCTAGCTTTAAATAATCTGCAATGGCTTGATAAGACATCGAAAAGGAGGTAATCAGTTACGTTTTCTTCTCTTCTTTTATCTGAGTTTTTTTTCGCTTCATTTTTGTTTTATCGGTTAGTGGTTTTTCTTTTTATTAGAATTTTTTGGAGGGGTCAGCTGGCAGGTATTCCGTAGATTTTTCTAATACTTTGGGAGTGAACACTACCAAAGGTTAGCTATAGACACAAATATGAAAGCAACCAAAGTTTTCCAACATTAAATAACACAAGGATTGATATGCTATAAAATCCACCAAACATCTATTTGTCTATCACAGTCAGTTCATATCTATCTATCTATCTATCTATCTATCTATCTATATATATATATATATATATATATATATATTTATCACAATGTTCACATCTATCTATCTATCTATCTATCACATTGTGTTTATATCTATCTGTATATATTGAGATACTATATATATATATATATATATATATATATATATATATATATATATATATATATATATATATATATATATATATATATATATATCATATATATATCAGTGTTCACATCTATCTGTCTATTTATCTATCACAGTGTTCACATTTATCTATGTATTTATCTATCACAGTGTTCGCATCTATCTATTGATCGATCGATCGATCACTGTCAGTTCATATCTATCTATCTGTCACATTGTGTTCATATCTATCTGTATATATTGAGAGATAGTATATATATATATATATATATATATATCGTTCTCTTTGTTTACGCGCACACACACACACACACACATATATATATATATATATATATATATATATATATATATATATATATATATATAATTTCAATATTATCTAGTTTTGTCATCGCTTTTTTTTCAATTTGATAAATATGTGTTTTACAATAAATGACTATGAAAAGATTCGATTTGCTGAACAGTTTTCCCGCCTGCAAAAACTTGCAAATTTGTTTTGGCTTCGAAAACAAACGCAAATAATTTTATCAAAAATTCTCCGAAGAATTTTGCCGCTTACATTTTTTTAATCTTTTTGTTGGACTAATCGAATGATTTTAAAAATATATTTTTTTTATTTTGATTTTTTTGCATTTTACAAATCTTTCGATTCAGTTTTCATAAATCGCTATTTTTTTTTGGCATTCCATAAGAACAAACTATTTAAAGAATTAATAATAATAATAATGATGATGATAATAATAATAATAATAATAATTGCACTTGAAATGCCAAAAAATAACATTTTTCTGTATTTAGACCGATAAAGATTTTTGACGAATGAAAAGAAAGGCGAAAATTATTAATGCATTTTCAAATCCTGTTATTACTTTTCTTGAAACCCCCTTCTCCACCCCCTCCTTCTCATCTTCTTTTCTTCAGCCCCCACCCCTGTACCTTCACCATCGTCATCTTTCTCATTTTATTGTTTCTACTTTCATAATTATATTTCATTCAAAATTATTATTATTATTATTATTATTATTATTGTTGTTGTTGTTTAATTTTGCTCTTATGATTATTATTGTTTTATTTTGCAATTATTTTTCTATTATTGTCATTATTTTATTTTACCATTATTATTATTATCGTTTTATTTTTCTATTATTATTATTATTGTTATTATTATTATTATTATTCAGTTATTTCTCTTAAAGATAATACTGCTCCTCTTCTATATCATTATTGCTAGCTGTGCATACAGATTTTATACACTAAAACAAACAGCTATTTTCGTATAATGATCATACATAAAGATCGTACATATATTATTATTTTTCTCTTATGCTAGGCATCCCATATCTCTGTCGGTGCGGGTATATGTATATGTGTATGGGTAGTCCCAAGGGTGGATGAAATCCTGAGAGCTCAATGTAAATCAAGAGCTAATATTTTAAAGAAAAACAGACCACTTTAAGGTACCATTATAATAATTTATTTCACCAGAGCCCTTTTAAAGGACGCCGGATCATCAGATGGCACTTCCAAAAATGAAATGAAACGAAAAATGAAATTAAAATTGATGGGTAGTGTAAGTTTTTGTAATTTAACAGAGTGTGTAATAAGGGTATTTAAAGAGACATCGTCTAGTTTGGGGAGGGTTTAATTTAATATCTCTCTCAATCATATTTAGTATTGGGGGAGGAGGAGTGATCAGACCATATTTAGACGGTTAACTTAACTAAACTTACACTACCCATCAATTTTAATTTCAAGGGCTCTGGTGAAATAAATTATTATAATGTTACCTTAAAGGGTCTGTTTT